TTACATTCCACCCAACTGTATTCAAACAATTAAACTTGAAAAATTTCTTAGTAATTACAAAAAAATTTTTAGTAATTACTTACAAAAAAAATGGTAACCAGCCTTCTGCCACATGCATGGCTAATTTACCCAGCGGAATTCGAAAGCCACACAGGGATAATAACTACTAAGAAACACAGAAAAGAGTAAATGTATGTTTTAGAAAGTTAGAAAGGCTTAACTGCTATCTTACATGTTCATAAGATAAAAAAAAAACAATCTTGCATCGTACGTTTTATTTAGATCAACAAACCTGTTTTAACTGTTAGAATATTTTTGAAGGCACATTGATGTTATATGCATCAAAAACCTGCAGCAACTTATTCATAAAATAGTATATTATAAAATTCACTACAGAGCATCAAGATATTCCTAACTACTGTAAGATATAGCACAGTATGCACATATAACCTAGTGTAACGCAATAAAATAAAGCAATAACTTCCTTTCTATTTGGGCCATTATTTACCATAACTGGGTCAAGAGTTAAATGGATATCGTCTCTCACTACTGTGAACAACTTGGTGTTGTTCTGATAAACAAACTGAACTAAGCAGCCGTTAATGTTATTTAAGAGGCGCGTCAGTTTCCCCCGTCTCCTAATATCATGTTTATTTTTTCCCTCTAATCTACCTCAGACTCTGCAACACAATTGTCCTCAGAGATTTGTTAAGTTATACCATGAATTAAGGAAAGATCCTAAACTTCACCTTACGAAAGCAAAGCAAATGGGATAGTAATCATGGACAAGGTAGATTATAGGGGGAAAATAACATTATTAGGAAACAGGGGAACTGACGTGCCCCTTAAAATATGGATGATCTTTACTAGTTGGGCTGGTGCATGGAACTTTAAAACCAAACATTGATCAAAGCCTTCCCAGGGTCACTTACGGTGTCCATGCAGTTGGGTTCAACTGGCTCCCGACGCGCTGCTATATGAGGAAAAGCTAAACCTATAAGGGTCGCCCAGCGCCTGTGGAATGGGAGTGGGGGATAATCAGGATTGATCCGAGGGAGGAGGGTAGGTCCAATTCCCCTGGATCAAGAGCCCTTCACCAGCATCAAAGAAACCCCTTTTGAAGTGTGGCGCTACTATATTTTTTCAACTTGTATATAATGGTAAGGACCAGCTGAAGAATCAATATCCCAAATTAAGTCAAATTTAGTTATGCACATTCTTAGGTATGTTACTAAATTATTTTACACTGCATAAATTTTGGAAATGTTAGGTTGTTTGGTTAGTGGTCTGCCTGGAGGTCATTCCGGGGATCAACGCCCCCGCGGCCTGGTCCACGACCAGGCCTCCCGGTCGATCAGGGCCTGATCAACCAGGCTGTTACTGCTGGCCGCACGCAGTCCAACGCACGAACCACAGCCCGGCTGATCCGGCACTGACTTTGGGCATCTGTCCAGTTTTCTTTTGAAGGCAGCCAAGGGTTTATTGGTAATTCCCCTTATGCTTGGTGGGAGGCTGTTGAACAGTCTTGGGCCCCGGACACTTACGGTGTTTTCTCTTAGTGTACCAATGGCGCCCCTACTTTTAATTGGGGGTATTTTGTATCGCCTGCCCAGTCTTTTACTTTCGTAGGGAGTGATTTCTGTGTGCAGATTCGGGACCATTCCTTCCAGGATTTTCCAAGTGTAGATTATGATATATCTCTCTCTCCTGCGTTCCAACGAGTATAAGTCAAGTGCTTCCAAGCATTCCCAGTAGTTAAGGTGCTTGACAGAACTTATACGTGCAGTAAAGGATCTCTGTACACTCTCTAAATCTGCAATTTCATCTGCTTTGAACGGAGATGTTAATACACAGCAGTATTCCAGCCAAGAGAGAACAAGTGTTTTGAAAAGGATCATCATTGGCTTGGCATCTCTCGTTTTGAATGTTCTCATTAACTATCCTAACAATTTCTTTGCACTTGTGATCGTGGCACTGTTGTGATCGTGGCACTGTTGTGATCCTTGAAAGTGAGATCCTGAGACATTACTACTCCCAGGTCCCTTACATTATTTTCCGCTCTATTGTATGGTCAGAGTTTGTAGTACACTCTGTTCTAGTTATTATCCTCTCCAGTTTTCCATAACGGAGTAGTTGGAATTTGTCCTCATTGAACATCATATTGTTTTCCGTTGCCCACTGGAAAACTTGGTTTATACCTTCTTGCAGGTTAACCGTGTCCTCAATAGATGACAGCCTCATGCAGATCCTAGCATCGTCTGCAAAGGATGATACGGTGCAGTGGGTTACATCTCTGTCTGTCTGATATGAGGATGAGGAACAGGATGGGAGCGAGTACTGTGCCTTGTGGAACAGAGCTCTTCGCTATGGCAGCCTCCGTTTTAACTCTGTTGACCACTACTGTGTTCGATTGGTTAAGAAGTGGTGAAAAAAAATAGCATGTAAGAACTTTGAATAACAAAGTTTGACTTTTGCATGGAGGTGTAGATTTTTCAATTGATCCAATGATCGTTAAGTGCACGGTGTGTAGTACAGAATATGAATCAACTATTTACATTTTTTCTATAAGGAACTTCTAAAAATTTTAAATTATTATTATACTAAGGGGGAAGCACTATACTCACCTGGGTTACAGAGCATGTAGGGAACGGGAGACATGAAAGGGGAGGGAAGGGCCACCACTCATAAAACGGGTCGTCAAAAGATTAAGGCCCGTGTCAGGACTTCGTTCTAGCACAGGTCAAAACGGCCTTTTCTCCCCCTCCCATCCTCTGGGGGAGGGGGATATAGGCTACCCAATGAGAAAATAATGAAGATAAAACCAAAAGGACCATAGAGTAGTTTGTGTAGGTGAAGCGTTTCACAAAAGCCTTACGTGACCTGTTCTTTAATAATTCAGTATTAATTAAATATAAATACGTACCTTTATGTCTTAAAAGAAATCTTCCTTGGATTTTGGCGTAAGGCCCATGTGGGTTTAGTGCCTAATAATATTATTATCCTTGGGTTGGCAAAGAAAATTAAGCGAATATTCCCGGAAGAAACCTTTACACAACAATGTAAGCAAACCTGATTATCATTCTCCAGACACTATTTTTTTTTTTTTACAGATTTAAGGCTTCGCGTTGAATTAAAAATATATATATAACTAAGAATAATAATCATTAATAAAAGCCCAAACCTATCTGAAGCATATCACTCCCCTCGAAGGTACTTATATGGTGCGAGACAGACATGAGCAATTGGCGTTGCGAGACTTTCCTTGCTCATCACCCGCCACAATATGAAGTTGGGCCATTTGGTTGTGAGCTACAATAATGGTCCACGAGGGCCGCAAATGTCGTTTGGTTCCATCCCCTTGCTTTATTACATTCATGGGGAGCGCTAAACCCGAAGGGATCATCAACGCATGTAGAATGGAGGGTATTAGGTTCAATCCAAGGAAGGGGGGTTAACTCATATTTCCTGGATCACGAGCACTTCATCTCTGAAGGGCAATATTTGCGTAAATACAACAAATTACGATCATTATTTATTTTTTCCCCGGGACAGAAATCCGCAAATTTCCTTAATTATAAATAACATCAATACTATCCAGTCCACGGGAAAAAGTTACTTACCGTGGAAACTACTTATCTAAGCGACAATTAACCTTAATTTTTAAAGGGGTGGACCGGTCATCCAGCGGAAGGCCTCTGTCAGATGACCAAAAGCTCCATCATATGACTAAGCCGCGTCAGGAAAAACTTGTCCTGTTTCCTGACAAACGTTACTTAACCTTATTTAAGTGATAATAGGTAAAAATAATATTTACTGTGTAAATTTTGTTTATTAAATATGTTGTGCAGTTAAAATAAGTTATATTCAGAACAAATGGGAAAGAAATTTTAATTTAATAATTTAATAACGTAACTCAATCTAACCTAACTAAACCAAACCTAAACCAGCTACAAAATTGTGGGTTAGGTTACGCTAGGTAACATTAGGTTTGTTATATAAACAAAATGGTCTTTCCCCATAGGCAATAAATACATATATCTACATTGCACAAGGCACTTAATACTGGAGAAGTTTCATACAAAATATACCCGGGCATAAAACAACTGACCCAAATTACGAAAGGATTCACAACACAAGTATTATTCTAGTCGAAGCATGACACATAGATGACCTTGACGCAGCAGTGTCACGTCAATGACCTTGAAGCAGACACATCAATGACCGTGACGCAGCAGTGTCACGTTAATGACCTTGAAGCAGACACATCAATGACCGTGACGCAGCAGTGTCACGTCAATGACTTGGACGAATCACTGATACATTAATAACCATGAAGTACTGACACATCGTTAACGATCAATACTGACACATCAATAGTCTTGAAGTACCGACACCAGTAAGTGACCTTGACATTTGGAACAATACTGCTCACACTTCCCCAAGGAAATATTTCAACTTAATGTGAACTATGCAAAAGTTTAAATCTAACTTGGAAACTTAACTATCATAACATTAATATGGAGGCTCTAAACCTTAAGGGCTAACGTAGCGCTCAGATAATGGGAGTGGATCAACCTTGACCCAAGGAAGGACGGGGGGGGAGGGGTTTACCTCAGGTTCCTTGGATCAAAAGCTCTTCACCGGCATCAAGGCACCCTTACCCCTTGAGGAGTTGGAATAGTAATGTTACATTGTTCTAAAATATAGCTCGATAGCTTGGCAAACAAAATTTCGAAAATTGTCTAAATTATAGTGTAGAGGCCAAAGTAGCCATATGTTACCTTGTCTAATTGTTTCGTAATTCTCGTAAATTTTATTTCCCCCTGTTCGTTACGTTCCTCCTGCATTCCCTGCTGGAAGAAAATAAGTTTTAGCTAGAGAACAAGGTGAGTGGGGCAGCAGCGCCACACTACCAACCATCACCTCAGGTAACTACCTCTGTCGCTCTTAGTTAAGAGGTGGGCGGTGAGCATCAGGTGGGCGTGGCCGGGGGATCATACCTGTTGGATGTGACCGGTGGTGGGGGGGACGATGTGCAGGTGAACAGGGTGAGAGGAGGGGGAGCAGCGGACGACGCCACACAACCTTCAATGGGACGAGACACGAGCAGCAACCACTCTTAACACAGGTTACACGCACACTGAGCTTTCCTGGATCGATCACTGGCCCCGCTGGCCATGCGCAAGCGCACTCCATCACCATCATCATCATTATCATCATCATCATCACCATCACCACCATCCTCATCTCCTGCTCCTTGATGGTCTTACTCTCAAATGCAGCCTTACTTCATCAGTATTTTCTCCAAATACGCCGCACAGACATTCTGGACTAACTAGGCTTTACTTTGATAGGATTTCTAGTCACAATTGTCTTTGTTTTTATTATAATAATTAGAAACTTATAAGGAGAGTCTCCCTGGGGAAGTTTTGTGATGATTAAGGAAAGACGGTGTAATACCAACACCGTATAGTCTCATTATTACCTTTTGTTATATTTCTCTCTCATAATGTCCTGCCCTAAAGGATAAGAAAGACATAATACACTTACACTGACATAGTTCACTGCTGCCCCTCTCAAACACAGTTGCTGCCCCTCTCAAACACGGTTGCTGCCCCTCAAAACACGCTTGCTGGCCCTCAAAACACGGTTGCTGGCCCTCTCAAACACGGTTGCTGCCCCTCTCAAACACGGTTGTAGGCCCTCTCAAACATGGTTGCTGCCCCTCTCAAACACGGTTGCTGCCCCTCTCAAACACGGTTGCTGCCCCTCTCAAACACGGTTGCTGTCCCTCTCAAACACGGTTGCTGTCCCTCTCAAACACGGTTACTGTATCTCTCAAGCACGGTTGCTGTCCCTCTCAAACACGGTTGCTGCCCCTCTCAAACACGGTTGCTGTCCCTCTCAAACACGGTTGCTGTCCCTCTCAAACACGGTTGCTGCCCCTCTCAAACACGGTTACTGTATCTCTCAAGCACGGTTGCTGCCCCTCTCAAACACGGTTGCTGCCCCTCTCAAACACGGTTGCTGTCCCTCTCAAACACGGTTACTGTATCTCTCAAGCACGGTTGCTGTCCCTCTCAAACACGGTTGCTGTCCCTCTCAAACACGGTTACTGTATATCTCAAGCACGGTTGCTGTCCCTCTCAAACACGGTTGCTGTCCCTCTCAAACACTGTTACTGTATCTCTCAAACACGGTTGCTGTCCCTCTCAAACACGGTTGCTGTCCCTCTCAAACACGGTTACTGTATCTCTCAAACACGGTTGCTGCCCCTCTCAAACACGGTTGCTGCCCCTCTCAAACACGGTTGCTGTCCCTCTCAAACACAGTTGCTGCCCCTCTCAAACACGGTTACTGTATCTCTCAAACACGGTTGCTGCCCCTCTCAGACACGGTTGCTGTCCCTCTCAAACACGGTTGCTGTCCCTCTCAAACACGGTTACTGTATCTCTCAAGCACGGTTGCTGTCCCTCTCAAACACGGTTGCTGCCCCTCTCAAACACGGTTGCTGCCCCTCTCAAACACGGTTGCTGTCCCTCTCAAACACGGTTACTGTATCTCTCAAGCACGGTTGCTGGCCCTCTCAAGCACGGTTGCTGCCCCTCTCAAACACAGTTGCTGCCCCTCTCAGACACGGTTGCTGCCCCTCTCAGGCAAGGTTGCTGCCCCTCTCAAACACGGTTGCTGCCCCTCTCAAACACGGTTGCTGCCCCTCTCAAGCACGGTTGCTGCCCCTCTCAAACACAGTTGCTGCCCCTCTCAGACACGGTTGCTGCCCCTCTCAGACAAGGTTGCTGCCCCTCTCAAACACGGTTGCTGCCCCTCTCAACCACGTCTGCTGTCCCTCTCAAACACGGTTGCTGCCCCTCTCAAACACGGTTGCTGCCCCTCTCAAGCACGGTTGCTGCCCCTCTCAAACACAGTTGCTGCCCCTCTCAGACACGGTTGCTGCCCCTCTCAGGCAAGGTTGCTGCCCCTCTCAAACACGGTTGCTGCCCCTCTCAACCACGTCTGCTGTCCCTCTCAAACACGGTTGCTGCCCCTCTCAAACACGGTTGCTGCCCCTCTCAACCACGGTTGCTGCCCGTCTCATACGCGGTTGCTGCCCCTCTCAAACACGGCTGCTGCCCCTCTCAACCACGTCTGCTGTCCCTTTCAATGTTGCTGGCCCTCTCAAACACGGTTGCTGCCCCTCTTAACCACGGCTGCTGCCCCTCTCAACCACGGTTGCTGCCCCTCTCAAACACGGTTGCTGCCCGTCTCATACACGGTTGCTGCCCCTCTCAAGCACGGTTGCTGCCCCTCTCAAGCACGGTTGCTGTCCCTCTCAACTACGGTTGCTGTCCCTCTCAGTGGTGGCTGTAGTCGCTCATTGGTGGCTGCTGTCTCTCTCAAGGGTGTCAGCTGACTCATATGTGGCTGCTGTCTCTCTTGCTGTCTCACTGGTAGCTGCTGCCTCTCCTTTCTCTCAGTGGTGGTTGCTGCCTTTCTTAATGGTGGCTGCTGCCTCTCTCAATGGTGGCTGCTGCCTCTCTCAATGGTAGCTGCTGCCTCTCTCAATATGGCTGCTGTCTCTCTCAATGGTGGCTGCTGCCTCTCTCAATGGTGGCTGCTGCCTCTCTCAATGGTAGCTGCTGCCTCTCTCAATGTGGCTGCTGTCTCGCTCTCTTGCTCCACCCTCCTTCCTCCCGCCTCAAAGTTTGCCTTTCAACTCTGATAAACTTGCTCTGGAAAAGATTAATCAGAATTTGAGATGCTCATGGGATAACAAAATATGCCGTACTTCAGCAAACAATTAAATATTATATATGTATGCTCTCTCTCTACCACCCTGAAACTCCATTGTTAATTAATTTCTAATATTAAGAGAAAAAGTCATTCGCTTGCTAACCAAGAAGCATGAACAGTTTGAGTAAAAGGGAAGGACTGTGTCTCACACCTTCCTTCCCACGTGAGACCCAGTAAAGTTATTACTTTGTAGTTATAGTACCAAGTAAGAGAATCGAACATGAGTCCCTTCAGTTGTGAGTCGAGCACTCGGCAACTGAGCTACAGGTCGCCAATATCGAAATTAGCAGAGGTGACTGAACATGATACACGTCAAACGTGTCCTAGATATTAATGCTGAAGCATGTCTCATTACATTCTTCGTTATAATTATAGAAGAGTTTTACAACACTTTATATCTGAGGAGACACACGTCTTCCTGTCACCTGGCTCTGTAACCTACTCCACATACCACCACCTACTTACTAGAAGATATAATGTCTGGTATCTGGCTCTGTAACCTACTCCACATACCACCACCTACTTACTAGAAGATATAATGCCTGGTATCTGGCCTGTAACCTAATCCACATACCACCACCTACTTACTAGAAGATATAATGTCTAGTATCTGGCTTTGTAACCTAATCCACATACCACCACCTACTTACTAGAAGGAATAATGTCTGGTATCTGGCTCTGCAACCTACTCCACATACCACCACCTACTTACTAGAAGATGTAATGTCTGGTATCTGGCTCTGTAACCTAATCCACATACCACCACCTACTTACTAGAAGATATAATGTCTGGTATCTGGCTCTGTAATCTAATCCACATACCACCACCTACTTACTAGAAGGAATAATGTCTGGTATCTGGCTCTGTAACCTACTCCACATACCACCACCTACTTACTAATCGGTTCAGTGTCTGGTGTCCGGCTCTGTAACTCCCGTCATACACCACCATGTTTATTATATCTCTCGCTTATCCTACAAAGGATATCATGTACACCGCTTTACCAGTGTTTCCTGGATGTGTTTAGGAAGAGACACAACTCCAGCCATGTGTGACATAGAAAACATATGAGCATGGAAAGCTGTCAACTCGCTCCACCGGTCGATAACATCGGTGCTCCCAGAAATAGTGAGCCGCCCGTTTACTCCTAATGAAGAGGACAAACAAATTTTCCAAGCAACGGAGCTCTTTGTTTTTGTTGGTGAGTCGCGATGAAATATCTGACTGAACATATAAACAGTTTTAGACAGGATTTAACTGTTCAGGAAGAGAGACTAAATTTTAGGTAGGATTTAACAGTTTTTAGTAGTCAATTGATACTTATAGCCTAGTCAGTCTCTTGCCGGGTCACCTTTTGGTAAAGACCCGGGCCGGGTCAAGACCGGCAAACCTACTAGAACTAGTTAGTTTGTGGTTTGGCAATGAACAAATTGCATAGTGAATCATTTATGTGGTAGCTTATTCTAAAAGCTATACCAAACAGTTTCTATATAAACTATGGAGATAAATGTGTGTGAGCAGTGGAACATTTTCATTTTTTTAGTTTTAAGGGAAAATTACTGATTCGGTTTTTTCTTTATTGTTCTTTTAGTCACGTTCATTGTTTCTCCATCATTATTGCTTCAGTCATGCTCGTTTCTGAACATATCAAGTAATTTGACACGCTTAGCATTTTCTGTCCCATAAGATTCTTTGTCAGACTGACATTTAAGTCTCCACAAAATTATTTTTTTTCCGTCTGTTGCAAAATTCTTCAATGAAAGATACTCAGCGTAATGATCTATACAACATATTCAACGACTGAAACAATAATAAAGTGAAATGTTTGAACCTGTAATATCTCCCTAACCTGTAATCCGCCTGTTATATTCAGTCATTGTTGAAGCACGCTAAATAAGCCTTGTGTTTTTGTTCAGATCTGACGAGTGTGGACTGTGACCTGCATGCAGCTACTGGCTAGCCGGTTAACAAACTGTGGCACTTCGGGAAAGAATGGAAGTAGCGGAATCAGCCGAGTAAATGAAGTACGAAAACAGAACATTTAAGCATCTTTAAGAGAATCTGTTCATCAGAACTGCAGACATGACTACTTCAACAGAAATATCATGTGTCGCGACTTGAAGAAGAATTGACAGGACACTGTTCAACGAATTATATTTTTTTCGTTCTTAATACCTTGCGAATCTGCGTAACATCGCCTCTGGTGTTTACAGCTGACAAAATGGCAAATGTGGACAAAGCAAAAGAGGTGAGTTGTAAAAGGTTTGTATCAATAGTGAGGAAGAAAGTTAACTATACGTCAAGAAAAAAGAGCATCCTATCACAATGGGCATTAAGGTTACTGCTAAAATCATTGGA